AAAACGAAAACGTAAGGTAAGTTAAACGTTAAACGTTAACTTAACGTAAACCCGAACCTACGTAAGTAACGTAAACGAACGAACATAATACTTTTATATATATATATATATATATATATATATAATAACCAGATGTTTGTCTGTCTGTCACGGTCTGTATCTCCTGTACGATTAATCAAAGATAAAATATCAAAACGCTTCTTTTCAAGAACACATTACAGAAAATTTTTTTGCAATTCCTAAAATTTCATATCGATATCAACATCGATACGTCAGTCTTTGTATGTGCTGAACCAATCTGATAAAAAAAAACTTATTAAGAACGCAAGTGTTTCTTTTCGTGAAGGAATTTACAAGAAAAAAAACAAACAAAGAAAGAAAGAAAAAACGGGACTTCCTCCGTCGATTTTATTGTACCATGTCGGATAAATTGATTTGAATGGAATTAACTACCTCTCCTTTGACACTTCTTATAGAAACGACAATTTTCCGAAAACGCTCATTTCAGTAGCGGTCTTTTCTTGCGCCCAGTAAAATGACAAGGAACGGTGGAATCCAGCGGGAAAAATTCCCGCAGTTACTAAGCGAACCTGAACGCTTTACTGTGTTGGATGCATCGAACCACAAACATTTCTGCTAACAGTGCATTGTGTTCAGCCTCCTTTGCTTAAAAACCAACGCAATGGAAATTTCGTTGTTGATATAACACATGGAATGACAAAAGACAGTTGCAAACGGCCCACTAGACAATCACATTGCATAGACGCTATGACAGCATATTTTGTATTCATTCATCACTATTTTTACGAAAATTAGCGTTGAATTGTTTCAACGGGCATCTGCTAACATATTATATCATTTAAACCACATCACATTTGTCATTCTATTGCCGACGAGGCTTTTCGTCTAGTACCAGGACTCATCAGGCCGGCTAAAATACAACAGACATTGGAATGATGTATAAATATCGTTAATTTTCATGAGCAACGACTGTTATGATGTGAACCAGATTAAGGAGAGAATTGCGGGTATTATAATTTATATTTAAATCATTTATAAATCAAGTTTTGAGGGAAAGAACTAACACCACCACATTATTTATTTTATTTTTAATACTGATTATTCATATATTATGTAGAATAAAAAAAATCGTTGAGGGAAGCTGAGATGGTCGTTGTAGGTAGAATACTTTAACAGATTAAGTTCAGAAAATACTATACGTGTTTGTTAATGCGGATTAACTCTTTCAGTATAAAAATATAAAGTTTTTAATGCGTTAAGATGTAAGGTACTAAACATACCTTGATTGGTAATAGCATATTTTTAAAGGCAGCTTTACTGTTGTCTTTTTTTGTTCTTACTTAGAAAAGAGTAGTTATAAACCTTGACTCCTTTATAATAATGGACTACAATATTTTGGGTTTTAAAGAGTAGACAAAAATTAAGTGCAAAAAGCCTCTTGAAAAGTTCAATCCCTTAAATTCTTTTGAAGGGAAGAAAACACTTACACACACTAGCTACACAGGCGAAGAAGGTGGGTTTTTGCTTACAAGAATTCGTGTTGTTCTTACCGTATGAATAAGACGGATTTGTGCTTATGAGAATTCGTTCTTAACGTATTTAATAGCTAAGTATGTGAAAGTTTTGGCAATTTTTTTATTAATGAATATTTATGTATTAATGAGAGTTATATATAATGTTCGTTTGTCAAAATTATGAGTAAGATAAGGTGTTTGAATCGTCACGATGAGTAAGATAAGGTGTTAAAATTAATAGTTCAAGGTAAGATAAGATGTTAGAATGAACCATAAGGTGTTTGAATCGTCACGATGAGTAATATAAGATGTTAAAATTAATCGTTCAAGGTAAGATAAGATGTTAAAATTAATAGTTCAAGGTAAGATAAGATGTTAGAATGAATCATAAGGTGTTTGAATCGTCACGATGAGTAAGATAAGATGTTAAAATTAATAGTTCAAGGTAAGATAAGATGTTAGAATGAATCATAAGGTGTTTGAATCGTCACGATGAGTAAGATAATATGTTAAAATTAATCGTTCAAGGTTAGATAAGATGTTAGAATGAATCGTTCGAGATAAGATAAAATATTAGAATCAGTCGTTCGAGATAAGATATTAGTATGAATCGTTCAAGGTTAGATAAGATGTTAGAATGAATCGTTCGAGATAAGATAAAATATTAGAATCAGTCGTTCAAGATATTAGTATGAATCGTTCAAAGTAAGTTTATGTTTGTTTGTTATGGATTTCGCGCAAAGCTTCACGATGCTATCTGCGCTAGCCGCTCCTAATTTAGCAGTGTAAGACTAGAGGGAAGGCAGCTGATCATCACCACCCACCGCCAACTCTTTTACCAACGAATAGTGGGATTGACCGTCAGATAATAACGCCCCCACGGCTGAAAGAGTGAGCCCGTTTGGGTGTGACGGGAATTTGAACCCGTGACACACAGAGTTGCCAGTCGAGCGCCCTAACCACCTGGCCATGCCGGGCCTTTCAAGGTAAAATAAGAATGGTTTGTTTTGAATTTCGCGCAAAACTACACGAGGGCTATCCGCGATAATCATCCTTAATTTAGTAATGATAGGCAAGAGGGAAGGCAGCTAGTCAAATCCACTCACCGCCTATTCTTGAGCTACTCTTTTACCAACGAATAGTGGGATTGACCGTCACATTATAACACCCCCTCCCCACGGCTGAAAGGGCGAACATGTTCGGTAACGAGAATTCGAACCCACGACCCTCAGCTCGCGAAATGAGCGTCTTAACCACCAGACCATGCGTAAGGTAAGATGTTATAATCGTCAAAGCGAGTAAGATAAGACGTTTATTTAACTCGTTAGGGCTGGTAGAATTAGAAGTTTGTTCGCACCCCTGAGGCAAGTGATAAAGATGTTTCTTAACTGCTATGGCTAGTCAGATAGAGATTTGTTTTTATTGTTCACACAAGATAAAATGTTTTTATAAATCTTCAAGTGAGTACAGTATGAAAGTTAGTTAAATTATCTAGGTCAGCAAGATAAAAAGTTTACTCAGATTATTTAAGTGAGCAACATAAAACGATTGTTTAAGTCGCTGAGACGAGTGACCCCCGGTGGGACAGCAGTAAGTCTACGGACTTACAACGTTAAAATCCGGGGTTCGATTTCCTGCGGTGGATACAACAGATTGCCCAATGTGGCTTTGCTTTAAATCAAACAAACAAATAAGACGAGTATAATAAGTTCGGTTTTCGTTTATTTCGGATAATAACGCAAAGTTACACAAAGGCTACCCACGCTAGTCATCCCTAATGTTGAATTGATATACTACATGGAAGGGAATTAGTCAACAGCACCCACCACCAATTGTTGAGCTACTCTCATTGAATAGTCAGATTTGACGGCCACTCCTATAACGCACTCACATCTCCAAATAGTGATGGGCCATTTTTTTTGGGGGGGGGGAGGCAACATAACGCGAATCACAGATCTTCTGATCCACACTTTGACATGTTAACCATTAGGCCACGCCTGCTCCGAATATAATAAAAGCCATGTTTAGGCTGGTTTTTGAATGAGGTAAGAGATTTACCTAAATATTTCAAACGATTAAGTTAAAATTTTTGCTGGAGAGAAATAAAACCCGTTGTTGATATTATATGTGAAATT